TATAATTTAGAATATATATATATATATATATATATTATTTGACAGTAATGGCATAATAGTAAATTCAGTGATAAAGTAATGGCATAATGGTAAATTCAGTGATAAAATAAAAGTATAGTGACATAATGGTAAATAAAGTAAGGGTATAATGGTAAATTTGACGAAAAAAAGTAACACCGTCAGTAGTAAAGTGATGGTGTTAACATCAAAGGGAGAGTGTGCAGGCAGATATATAATAGGAGGGGGTTTGACGCAATTTTTAAATTACGAGGAGAAAACGCGCAGATTTAGTATATTACAGGGGGTTTGGTGCAATTTACCCTATAAAAATATTTACCTGCGACATTATTTCTCTGAATCCCAATAATTATCTTTGCATTTGATTCGTGTCCTCTTTCAACTTTCCTAGTATTTTCGTAAGCAACTGTCAAGTTGTCTATCTTCGTCAAGTCCTTTTTCCACAATTAACATTTTTGTGTAACATGGTTAGTTATTGTATAACCCGTTTATTTCCGATTTCAGTTTTTTCCTCTCTTTGCGATTTTCTAAGGGCTAACGATGTCGCTGAGACCCAATGCTCGCGCCGAGGTCCGCCGCAACCGCTACAAGGTGGCCGTGGACGCCGAGGAGGGGCGGCGGTGGGGGGAGGACAACATGGTCGAGATTCGGAAGAAACGCCGTGTGGAGAATCTCCAGAAGAACCGCCGTTAGGGTGTCCAGCAGTTTTCTGTTCCTGTCGAAGCCACCACCGGCATCGAGAAAAAGGTATGCGTATGATTATGAATGAATAATCGGTTTGTTTGCTTTTATTTGCTTTCCATATAAGTGTTTTTGTTTGTTAGATTTTTCGGTTTGTAAATGTTTGTAGGCCTGTGGGTTGAATTGGATGGTCGGAGTTTTGATCTTCCTTATGGATGCTATGCTATGTTTGCGGTGTTAAATTGACTGTGCGGATAGGATGTATGTTTATTTTTATTTTTTGTTTTTTCTGTCAAGTAGTCAAATGATTTACAGCAAATGTAAGATTGATTAGGGCCTCCCTTTTCTCATTTTCTGTTTTTGCTGTGTTTCGAACTCAATATGGATGTGATGCATCTCGCATATCTGGAATTAACTTTGTTTCTGCCGGTGGCTTGTAATATATCATCAGAGCAGTGATTAGAACCACAAATATATTATCAATTTTCTTAACATTTTAGAAACATTGACCTTTTTTTTTTTGGAATTTTTTGTTTGTTTGTTTGTTTTGATTGTAGGTGCAGTTAGAAAATCTACCATCAATGGTCGTGAGTGTTTGGAGAGATGATCCCAACAGCCAGCTTGAGGCAACCACCCAATTCCGAAAATTGCTTTCTATAGGTGATTATTGTGTTCTAAATAATTTGGGTTGTAAAGAGAACCGTCTTTACTTTAACTTAGTCATTATCATTTATTGTATCCTATAATGGATTTTGGCAGAGCACAGTCCGCCAATTCAGGAGGTGATTGAAGCAGGTGTTGTTCCCCCGCTTTGTTGAATTTTTGATGGAGGAGGAATTCCCACAACTTCAGGTCTAACAGCTGTGGTTTAAAACCGCTTCTGATTTAGTGTTTTCTTTTCTGTGTTTGTTAAATAAATGACTTATATATTGTTTTTAAATGTTGAATGCAGTTTGAGGCAGCTTGGGCTCTGACTTATATTACTTCTGGCACATCTGAACACACTAAGGTAGTAATTGATCATGGAGCAGTCCCAATATTTGTGAAGCTTCTTGCTTCTCCAAGTGATGATGTTCGTGAACAGGTGTGTTTATCTTCAAGAGTTATTCTGTGTTGTTTCTGGAGCATTTTATGTTACAAAGTCTCCTGCCTATGTATATTATGCATACTTCTTGGATACTTTTAATAATAATGATAATAATTATCGTTTGGCTACTCTGCTTTACGATTTAGGCTGTATGGGCTTTGGGGAATGTGGCGGATGATTCTCCAAATTGTCGTGACTTTGTGCTTGGTCATGGAGTCTTGGGGCCTTTGCTAGCTCAGTTGAATGAACATGCCAAATTATGTATGCTCAGAAATGCTACCTGGACACTGTCTAACTTCTGCAGAGGCAAGCCACAGCCTGCGTTTGAACAGGTTTGCTTTAAGCTTGGTTACCTAGCTGCTCCATCTTACAATATGCATGAGAAATTTTGAGTTAATGCAGACAAGGATTATTGTTTATGAATTTTATGGTGGGTTAATCATTATTTATGTAGAAGTACCAATCAAAGAATTTTGTTATATACTGTAGAGCATTTTATTTCTTCTTTAGATTGAATTGAATACCCACTAAAAATAATTGTTTCTGTCATATTAGATAAATTCAGAATATTTCGGGTTATAGTCTGCTTATGTGATTTGAATTCAGATTTTCAAGTTTCAAATAGTAAGCTACCAAGATCTGTTATGAGTTATTATATTATTTAGTGTTCTCTAGAAATCACACTCAGAACAAAGGCTGTTCTTGTCTATAGTAAGTTACCAATACCTGGTATGAGGCCCAACGTATTTGCTTGTTTTAATGGGTCGAAAGACCTCTCCCGTGATATATTTGCTAGACTAGATGCTTCTTTGACTCTCCATATGTAACTCCATAAGCACTTATGATATTGAATAAGTTTAACACACTATAAAAGTACTTTGAACTTATGATATTGAATCATGTGTAATTGTTTACTAATAATTATTGTCCTTATGAACAGACGAGGCCTGCACTACCAGTTCTCAAGCAACTTATTCACTCGAGTGATGAAGAAGTTCTGACTGATGCTTGTTGAGCACTTTCATATCTTTCTGATGGAACCAATGATAAAATTCAAGCTGTGATTGACTCTGGAGTATGCCCCCGCTTAGTTGAGTTGTTGCTGTTAGTATCTCTATTATTTTGTTATACGTTAAACTTTTCTTCTTTTCTCCTCTCTTTCTTATGTGGCTGATGGATGAACTAATTGTGCATTGCAGTCATCCATCACCATCCGTTCTTATTCCAGCCCTTAGGACTGTTAAAAATATTGTCACTGGACATGATATACAAACTCAGGTATGATGAACCAAACCCGTTATGTGTCACTGTTTTTGTATTATTGTTTCCATAATTAACATTTTTGTGTAACATGGTTAGTTGGCAAGCAGAAAAATACAGGTGGATCCAATTCACCCCTATTTAACTTTAGTTGCTAATACTTTAATGGTTCAGAGACTACTCCTCGTAAGAAAGTGATTAATACTGAAATCAATTTCAACCTTTTATTATCTAAGAAAACTGTTACTGTTGCGAGTGATATCATGGAGCTGATAAACCAATAATTTTTATTCTTTAATACATTTGGAACCCATGGGCACTATATCTTGATTAATTTGATAAATAAATCAATCATCAACGGATAATTACTAATTTACTTTTATTGCTGGATTCTGAAATTCAGCATTTATTTGTTAACTAATACTAATGACTAGCAATTTGCACCTGGCACAAATTGTTGTGCTGCACCTGTAAAGTTAAGTGTTAACTGTATTTGGCATCTTAATGCTTTGGCAGTCTCTTTGTGTAGGCAATTTATAGTTTTCTTTATTTGCACTTAAAGAAATGATAATTGAAAAGACAATGTTCTATCAAATGCTTATTTTATCTTGTTAAGTGGATTTTAACCATTTCTCATGGAATTTCTATGAATGTTTGCAGTATATCATCAGCAATAATGCACTGCCCCGTCTCTTGAACCTCTTGAATGGAGCTCATAAGAAGAGCATTAAAAAGGAAGCTTGCTGGACTATTTCCAATATCACAGCTGGAAACAGTGGTCAAATTCAGGTTAATTGGAGAATACTTAAAATACTTCGTTGAGTTCGCTTTATATATTTTCTGTTCAAGTGTATTATTACGCACTGGGGTTATTTTTATTTGTTTGGATGCAGTCCGTAATGGAGGCCAACATTATTGGATCATTAGTCCAGTTGCTTCTGAATGCCGAATTCGATGTCAAAAAGGAGGCTGCTTGGGCAATATCAAACGTAGCATCTGGTGGCACTCACGATCAAATCAAGTGAGTTGTTTATTATCTATTTTCTTTCCACTTGAGTACAGTCATATTTTTTTTTTTTT